ATGATTGATATGAATCCAGGTGATAAGACATGCATATCCTCCACCCTCAACTTTGCATCAGATCACGCAAAGCGTCACAATATATCGACACCCATTATAACCTTTGATCAGCCCCTTTGGTTAAAGGCATTTGACATGATCAAGACAGAGCCTGATAATAGTGCACTGCGCAACGTCATACTTCGTTTAGGTGCCTTCCACACAGAGATGAGCTTCTTAGATTCAATTGGGTATCTTATGGCAAGTTCAGGTTTGCGAGACATATTAGAACTGATATATGCGTCTAACGCTGTTGACCATATATTGACGGTTAAAGCCGTTGCTTGCGCAGTGCGTGGTATCTCATCGTTGATGCTGCACTAAACGCTCTTCTCTACTCTGTGGCTCTTAAAGTTGCCATCCCTCATAATGTATCTCAAAGTTATACAACTCAAGGTAATGATTTCGTTACGTGGTTGTTTCTCATCTGTTTCTTTTTTAATCTTATTCACTGAATCATAGCATTTTTAGGTGACGGAAATAATAATATTAGTGAATCTAAGGCGAATGATGAGTATTTGGCTGAGAATTGAAACAACGCTGAGATCAATAGATCTCAAATATTTATGAAGTGATTTCCGTTATCGCTTATCGGGATCACTCATATATAGCCCGCTGAATTTATAACGAGCTATTCAAATCAATGCATCAACCCCAAATTTCCCTGCTGAACATCAAATAAACTTAATAAACTTAACGATTTTTTTTAATAATCTATACTTCGGAATTCACCAACGTGTATGAATCAGAAGTAATAGTGTGACTCGTATTTCTCCGCTCCTCGGTCCATTCTATCCAAGCACGTACACACAATTCGATACTTCATTTTGTTCCTTCTTTAATCCTTCCCCCCGTATTAGTCTTTGAGCGAGTTCATCATCAAAAACTATTGTAATTTTTCTCGTTTTTCTCATCTGCAGACTTCGTCAGCGTTATATAATTGCGGGCGTAGGTAAACGGACTTCCAAACAAGATAGCAAATCATCAATATCAAAGTTCGGCAAAGGAATGCTGTCAAACTTTGAGCTATAAGCAAATCGTCGTCACTGTTCGACATCGTTTCCAGAATGACTGTTAAGAATATTTGATATCAAATTAAGATTGCTCGCTTTCGCATGAACAGGTTTTCTTAAAGGAAACTAATTTCAACTGTCTATGAAAAAGTCTCAAGAGGAGAGGTTCTATTGTTCGAATCCGAACTAAGAAAACATTCATTTAGTCTATTCAGTTTTTTGCGAAACCCACGTGAATTGAAAACTAAGTTTGTTAGTTACCTCGGGCCTGCGGCCCTCGGGCTGTATATAGCGTAATGCCTCCGTTCTCGGTAACTAACTCTTACATAGTCGTGCAAAGTAATTTTTGAATCGCTTAATATCATTATGTTTTCGTTTTAGTGACTGTAAAACAGAACGCCGCAATAGAAAGTGCTTGCATCATGTTCAATAAACTTATGAACGAAGAAGAGTTGTAGTATAAAAACGAGCGACAATAAATTGCAACGTTTCGTTGTCATCCCGACAACATTTTCAAGCAGATTTAATGTTGGAAGTTGAGAAAACATATATAGTGAATAAAAACAAAAGATATGTGGCTTTACAAATCTAAATAAAACACTTTGGCTCTAATAGAGCCTGATTGGACATTCAATGTAGGACCTAATTTACGAATAAATAACATCTCATAAATGAGTCTTGTTTGTTTAGGCATTTTTTCAATACAGTAAAACTGTTTTGAATGTTCTTAATTATTGCAGGATCAGAGTTATCAGTTCTTGCGTGGCCATTTAGGTGTTTACAAATTGATGATGACTTTTGTTAGTGTTCGGTGATACAGTGGTGAAGATGCCGCGTGGTGTATCCCACATATTCTGCATCGCACAGACTACATTTATACTTGTAAACCAAGCACTGTCGATTCACTACAGCGGGTTTCACTTCCTTAACTCGRAGCACATCCTCAATTTTCTTGCTAGTGAAAACTGGTTGTAAAACAAGATTGATYTGATTCCCTAGACCAATAAGCTGCTTTTTCACGACCTCGGCTGACTTCTGGTTCTTGAATGGTATTGGTATTCTTAGYGTTTTCTTGCTGTCATCATTACTCGAACTGGTTGTTGATCTGGTGTTCTGGACAGATGAGCGAACCCTATTAATTAAATCCAGTGGATATTGAAGCTTTGAAAACACTTCGGTTAGACGATTAGATTGTTGATCGAATAGTTCAGACATTGAAGAGAGTTGTTGTGCACGATTGAACATAGTAAACAGTAGCCCTTTCTTATATCTGTTGTCGACATTACTAAGATAATGCGTGAATAAACCAGTATCAGTAGGCTTTTTGTACACACGAGTTCCAATTTTATTGTTATTCACAGAGAGAACCATTCCAAGAAACGGTAGTTCGTTGTTGTTGTCYTGTACTTCCATAGTAAATGCTATAGAGTCGTGACGATCGTTAAGTACATCCAKGAACTTATTAGCCRTATCAATGTTATTCATGACAGSCAAGGTGTCATCAACATATCTCCTATAKGTGCTCGGCAAGATGTTGTCACACACTAAGGCTTCTTCGATTGAACACAAGAAAGTATTGGCTAGGAGAGGTCCCAAGGGGGAGCCCATGGCGACACCGTCAATTTGTTGATATAACTGGCCGTTAAAAGTAAAAAGTTGATTCTTGGTTGAAATTGTTAAGAGATCTACCAAGTCATTCTTAGATATTTTAAGTTCGCATGTCTTGTTGAACCAGTCGTCCGTAAAGGTTTTGTTTGCAAGGAAGAAGAGACTATAGAAACTGTAACCAACTCAAAGCTACTAGATGAAATTAAAGTTGTTGTGCAGACCAAGGTAACAAAGATGACAGTGAATAGCCGCACCACAGCATTATGGGCACAGTATATGGATATGATCGATATTTTACGACAGTTTRTCAAAGCTGAACGGACTGCAAACTGGGAACTTCACCTTAAGACCCTCAAAGACATGCTCCCATATCTCGGCGCTTCAAGACATAAAAACTACGTGAAGWGCGCACACCTGTACCTTCAGACAATGGCGGATCTTTCCATCCAGCACCCCAGTGTATACCAGAGTTTTTTGTCAGGTCTCCATGTAGTTCGACGAAGCGATCGTTTATGGGTAGGGCTACCCACAGATCTTGTTATCGAGCAAGTGTTGATGAGAAGCCTGAAGACCAGTGGAGGACTTACGCGAGGAATTGGAATGTCCGAGCTGCAACGGTTGACTTGGCTCTTTCCATGCCAGCCTGTGCTGAGAACAATAACATCATGCAAGAGCTAACGGGAGTTCACTTCAATTCCGGAGAGCAGAACAAAGACATGTCACATGCAAGACAAGAAAGAGATATGAAGGACACTATCACAGTGCTTAATGTACTTTGTCAGAGAAACCCTTTTACTGATGAGTCTACTCTCYAAAACATAATGAATGGTGTGGTCGCTGACAACGCTGTAAATGTTGACAATGCCAAAGCAGTTGGTGAGAAGATTCTTTCATCGATGATGGGAAGAGCCGTCGACGAGTATACATTTAAGCGAAATGCACAAGCTGTAACACTTGCATTAACATCTAAAGTGGGAGTTGATAACGAMATTGTACAAGTAGATGCCCAATTACTTTTCCAAAGGCTCATCATYGCATGCAATAACTCGGATGACTTGGAAGAAGTGTTTAAATACGAGCTGTGTAGTTATCCTACCTCTTTTATGTGACTCCCCTTTCATGATGCGGCCCCTACAGAAGCCAATCCTAGCAGTCTAAGCTAACCAGTGAGGCAACTTCAGACCCACCTTCAGATGTGTTCTATGTACTGGATGGCGGAGCACTCCTCCACAGAATCCCCTGGCCAAGAGGGTCACCCATCATACATGTATTTATCATTGTTTACAAACTATGCATATTGGAATGTAAAGGGTTATGTAACCAGTTACACAGTGTAGCTAGAGGCTAGTACTTAAGGTTTTGAAGTTGTGAAATAGTTCATTCGCGTTCAACGACCGTCTCGCGTCGTGCAAATTTGTTGAACTCTATCTGGTTGTAATGTCCCTTGCGGATCAGGAGGCCGATTTGCTTCGTTCAGAGGACGAGTCGAGGCCAGTGGTTGWGCAAGAAGCTGATATTCAGGCCACTGACGAAGATTCATCCGCTGGTACTGCTTTTAGTCTCTTCAAAAACTACCTCGACAAGCAGTTTTCGTCGTTAAAACAAGACTTGAGGGAAGACGCTTTATCTTCATCGGAGTCCGTGGCAAAGAGGTTGAAGGAGACGTCAGAAATTACCTTCAAGTACGAAGGCAATAAGCGTCAACACAAGTTCAACGTGACCTTAAAGGAACACGTTGAGGCCGCACAAAAGTCTCTGGCTAATAAGAAATATTCAAAAGTCAAGTCGTCTTGGAGGAGGTTCTCGAGAAAGAGATAAAGAAGAGAAACAAATTAATCAGGCTTGCGGACAAGTTACCTGCAGGTTGGGACCTGGTTAACGAGTACCTGTCGGACGAACTCGCAAGTGGTAGCGAGGACGAGAAAAAGATTAAGAAAGCGGAACAAGCTGCGCTACGCAAGAAAAATCAACTTAAGCCAAGGGGGAGAGGAAGAGTCAGATTCCAGCCGTATCCGTCTGTTCACCAAAGTGCTAGTACCAATCAGTCTGCCAGTGGTTTTTCCCCGACTGTCCGGATCCCCGTCTTCGTTCTACACATCATTTGGCAGGCAGCCACACCTTAGTAGGTTCGAAGGTAGAAGGGCGGCTCCCAACGACATCTGTTTTGCCTGCTGGTTGCAGGGCCATTGGAGGGCAGATTGTAGAAGATATTCGGCTAAAACAGCCACCAGCACCGCGAGTAACACACCGCGTACTGGAGGTAATCAGTAGCCTTTGTTAAGGTACCGTATTTTGTACTTGTTATTATGAGTGGTGCTGAGAATTTAGACTGTTTGCATTCTATTGCTGATATGCAGGTAGTGGATGACATCGAGACAAAATTTGAGTATGAGCAAAATGATGCGCCCCCTATTTTGAAGGGCAGATTGAGTAAACATTTGTCGTTTTGGGAACACATCAATGCCAGTACTTTTTCATTAGAAGTCATTAAGTTCGGGTATCGTCTTCCCTTTATTGACACTCCGGTTCGAGCTATGTTAAATAATAACAATTCTGCTTACGAGCATCGCGATTTTGTGGAGACAGCTATCTTGGATTTGCTTAGGAATCACTCGGTGATCGAAGTTCCGTTCGTCCCTCATGTAGTTAATCCTTTGTCAGTGTCTGTYCAGTCTTCGGGTAAAAAACGTTTGATCCTTGATTTACGCCATGTTAACCAATGTTTGTGGAAAGAGAAAATTAAGTTTGAGGACTGGCGCTTTCTATTGTCGTATGTTAAAAGAGGGCGTTTTCTGTTTTGTTTCGATCTAAAATCCGGTTATCATCACATCGACATTTTCTCTGAGCATCAGACTTATTTAGGGTTTTCCTGGGTCTTTAATGGKTTTAAAAAGTATTTTTGCTTTTCAGTTCTCCCCTTTGGCCTTAGTACGGCCCCTTACGTTTTTACTAAAGTTCTCAGGCCCTTAGTAAAGTTTTGGAGATTTAACGGCGTTCCTATTGTCCTCTATTTGGACGACGGTTGTGGTTTCTCCAGTTCGCTAGAGGTTGCTCGTAACAACTCGGAAATGGTTAAGCTATCCTTAAAGAATTCAGGTTTTGTGGTTAACAACACTAAGTCGATATGGGAGCCTGTTCAGTCGCTTTGTTGGTTAGGGTTAGATTGGGATCTTACTCAGGGTTTCTTCAAAATCTCGGATAATCGCATAACTAAGCTGCTTTGTAAAATCGACTCGTTTTTGGGAAAGGCCCCTTTAACCTAGCTAGTTTAACCGGCCATATCGTTTCGATGTCTCCAGTCTTAGGTAACTTAACTAGGTTAAGAACTAGACACCTGTATAATGCTATTAATTCGGGGACTTCATGGAACAGTCGGTTTAATATCGGTCGCAATAACGATGCACTGTGCGAAATATTCTTTTGGAAAAATAATGTCGCAGGATGGAATGTCAGGCACTTGAATGAATATTAAACGCCTAGAAGCCTTTGTTTTTCGGACGCTAGCAACTTAGCATGCGGGGGTTGGTTGGACAATGCTAACAATATTTGTTTTCGTTTTTGGAATGCCGATGAAAGAGACAAAAGCTCGACTTGGCGGGAATTGAAGGCCATTCATTTCTGTTTGCTTTCTTTTTGTTCATCTCTTCGAGGCAATACTGTGCATTGGCACTCGGACAATCAAGGTGCAATCAGGATCTTGGAAGTAGGAAGTCCTAAGGCAGAATTACATTCTATAGCAATCGATATTTTCACTCTTTGTAAGCATAATCAGATTTGTTTATTACCGACCTGGGTGCCTAGGGAATTGAATACTCTAGCGGATAGCATTAGCAAGAATGTTGACTATGACGATTGGACGACCACCCGCGAGTTTTTTCTGTACATGAGTAGGATGTGGGGACCGTATTCCGTTGATAGGTTTGCGGATTCTTTTAACTCCCAAGTGCCTTGTTTTAATTCTCGATTCTCGGTGCCAGGCACGGAACGTGTGGACGCATTTACAGTTAGTTGGGAGGGAGAGAACAATTGGTTAGTACCGCCGTTACACTGTGTTATGCAGGTCATTCAGCATTTAGTAGCCAGTAGAGCTGAAGGTACTCTAGTCGTTCCTTATTGGCCTTCCAGCGGCTTCTGGCCTTTGCTCTTTGAGAATTCGTATACTTATAAGCCGTACGTTAAAGATTCGATGGTTTTTCCCAGCGGTTCTGGGATTTTTGCCTTAGAAAACTATAAGGATTCTCTCTTAGGTTCGGCGAAGTTTAAGAGTCAGGTGATCGCTTTCCGGTTCTAGAGTGATTGGAGTGAAAACTGAAACTTTCAGATAACTTTCAGATAAAGTGGCCGAGTGGCTTGACCTCCCCGTATTTATTTCGTATAGTACTTGACTTATTCTAAGCCGATCGGCGCTTAGTGACCGATTGGTCTTGATTACGTATTTTGCTTGTGGTCGCTTATATTTTTGATCGGAATTGGACGATTGGCTGAAGCTCATACAGTCCGATTGGTCTTGAATAGGTACAGGTTATACTTGACTTGTGGTTATTTATTTACTATCAGAATTGGCCGATTGGCCGAAGCTCACACAGACCGATTGGTCTTGAATATGTATATGATGTACTTTACTTGTGGTTATTTATTTATCATCCGAATTGGCCGATCGTCCGAAGTTTATGTAGTGAAGGTTGATTAGCTACATTGAGTATTCAGCGGTGATGATTATTGATTACATTTGTTGTTGTTTTTAGTTGTTTTGCAGGATGTGGTTTCGGTGCAATTCATTGCGGTCCAGGATCCTCAGCTACAAGAGCTGTCTAAGGATGTTTTCGGTCTGGTCAACCAGAGCAAAGCTGAAAATACTACAGTCAAGTATCGTCGTGGCTTCCAACGTTGGCAAAACTGGGCTGTTAATTATCCTGAAATTATCTTTGAAATTTGCATAATTCCTGCTCCGTATATTTATGTTTGTTTATTTTTTGTTAGCTTAATCCAAGGGGGTGTGT